TATACATAACAATAAAAAACCTCTACAACAGATCTTGAAATGAACTCTGTGCCATCAACTAACAAAAATTTATGCAATTTGCACCAATGGCGTCAAAAGATATATCACTTTGAAGAAGAAAAAAAAATCAAAATTCTCAATCTGGTGGTTAAAAGGGCCTAAAATGTTGATTTTTTTCTCTTTTTTTTTATGGTAGGTGATGGATCAATGTGAGTTGACACTAAAAATATTCAGGTTTTTTCTCGATATATACCTGATCAAGTATCAGAATTGCACAATTGTCGTAAGGATAGACCTGGGGCCCCCTTTTGGCGCAATATGCTATTGTATCACATTTTTTCTACTTGAAATAATGTAAGTTAGGTAGTAGGTACATTAGTTTTTCACTCTGGCAAAGAGTTGAAATACGTTTTCCCTCAACTAATATTGAAAAGTCATTTTATAGAGAAGAGTAACTCATTTTCAACTCTGAAACTAATCCATTAATTTTTTTGGCATTAAAGTGCAAGGAATGTTGATGGGTCTATCGATGAATATATTAAGACTTGAGGCTTGGGCCAGAATGTAAGGCTTTAGTGTGCTCTTTAACTAATATGAAATACCATGACCAGGAGAAAGACTATAGAAGATTTTCACATATAAATTTAACATTGCTGGCTTATATACAAAAATAATACTGCACAATACTGAAAGAAATAACAAGAGTGGAGGGGAATGAGGCTGATACACGCAATGAAAGGCACCAGATGTTTAAATGTGATCTAGTCATTATCGCTTGCAGAACTTAGCAGAAAAGCAAACTGAAAAGCAGAAGCTAAAAAATTGCATTCTGGTGAATATTCTAATATTCTTAGGTATTCACTCCAGGTGTCTTTGGATCGCAAGTTTTCTTTGTCCTTAATTAGCCATGGCACCTTCCCCTCGGAAATCAGGCGATTGATAGCACGTTACACACCAATTTCTAATACAGTTATCTTTTTCAACTTCAGAAATTGCCTCTTTTCTGGGAGAATAGGGGACTACGGCAACCACATACCGCACAGCACCAGGGAGCACTGGAAGGCAGCTTTTACGTATGTATCTTTCTCAACACAAGTGCTGGGCTTCCACAGAGTTTCGTTTAGTATATACTATCAAATACTCTTAATCTCTGGTTCATATTCATATACTCTAGTTCAGTCAATTGATTAATTATGATGGATACAAATGACTGTTAAGTATTGCTAAATTAGATGCTTGAGAGAGAAAAATTGAAAGTTTTGAAAGTACTCCAAGGAATAAAACTACCATAACCGCAATCATACATTTCAAGATCTGTTTGATAGGATTAATTCAGGGTGGATCCCTTAGTTTACCCTGCGATTAAACAAAATAAATTATGAGAAATTCATAATAAAATGAACTAAATTTATAGTAAAGTCTATTTACATAAAAATTCTGAAATTAACAAGTATGTTCCAAGAATGAAAATTCTTGCAGTAAATGTGACTTTACCTAAGAAGCAGCGGCTACCTACAAAATATGTTTGAAAAGATTGATTAAGTACATTTTTTACAGCCATAAAAGAAAAGTTTGAGAAAAAGAGAAATGTATGTATGTACAAGTGAAGGTAAAGATTGACTGCTCAAATTTTAAAGCAACATACAAAAAGGAAAATGGTAAAATGATAATATAAATGATAAAATTTTACAGTTGATCATGGAGGTTTACAGAGACCTTTGAGTTCATAGTCTGTAATTGTCATAATCTTACTGGGTTGAAGGAGACTGCGCAAAAAAGAAAATATGCAAAAGATTTGTGCAAAAGCTTCCTGCGAATGGTCCAGTTTTTTTTTTTCAAGTAATGAATTTTTAGTGGAACTGAGACTGTCTATTTATCTGATTTTCTTCCCAGAAAAAGACATCGATAATAATTACAGCTTCCTTAATACGATTCAGCGAAAGAAAAAAAAAGGCATTCTCACCAATGGCGCAACTCGTTCTTTGTCTCACTACATATACAATTCTGGGGCATCCAAAATACCCTCATCCCCTTGATGTACGTAAAATACTCTGATTTTTTATTTTGTCACCTAATCGCTATGATCCTCACTGGGCCACCATTATACATGGGTCCCTGGGTTTGATTTGTGTTAAAGATCTTCCATTTTTTATTTTTTTTTTTAACTTGAATGCTTCTTCTTTACTAACTTTCCATTCATTTTCGTTTTTTATTTTCCACCTTCGATGCGATAGAGTGTTACTGTTCTACTACAGAAAGTGGAGCAACAAGTTGCGACATGTACAACTGGTAATATTGGGAAGTCAGTAGCACCATTGAAAAAGTTCATTTTTCGTTTTATTAAATCAAATCGATGTAAAATGCACGAATCCCATTATGACTAGCAATTCTCAGACATGTGTACGTTGTTTTTGAAAAATAAATTCACTGAATGTTGAAATTCCAAAACTTCAAAAATTTATGGGTATTTGTTCCCTTTTCTTTCTACGTACAACAGCAAGTAAGAAACATAAGTAACTAAAATTCCTCTAAGATGTTTGTTTGGGGAAGAAGTCTGTGAAAATGTAAACAAGACCGTGTGCTGGAATTCGCTTGATTAATTTTGAATCTAAACCAAATTTGAATGGTTAATTGCTTGAATATCAGCTACAATCATGCAGTTGAAAGAATCCGGGTTTTTTTCGGATTTTTTACTTTCATCATGCAACTTCAAAATTTTGGTACACTACCATGATTGTCATTTCAACGATAGCTGATAATAATGAAATTCTTTTTTGCAAAAATGATCGAGCATTTTGCTGAAAGCATTGACTTTGAAACATGCATTGGCACTATATTTCGTTTTTGACTAATCAGGGGGAAGTGTTTCACTTCTATTGCACAAATCAACATCCTGAAAATCTGATGATTCAACACAAATCGAGGATGTTTCTTGACATGTATTACCTCTATTTTAGGGTAATTAAGGGGGCAATTTCAGACGAACTCTTGCAAAACAGAAGAGACGTTGGAACCTAAGTTCTATCAGGAAATCAATTTGGATGAAACGATAAAAATGTACAATATTGTTCATACAAATGATACTGACTACAGACCTCAGAAAAATAAACTAGGGTCAAAAAATGTACAAACTTTAAATAGAGGAAAACAAAACTCTTTTCGCACTAGGTAATCAAATATAATCAAATAACAAAATATCTAAACATTTTAACTTTGAACTTAATACAATCAATAAAATATATTCCACAAAATGTAAAAATATTCTCTATTCTTTTTTGTTTAGTTTTTTAATATTTAGTTATATTTTAATTCGCTTTTTTGCAATACCAAGCGACTTATCTAACTATAAATGCATGTATCAGTACCTTATTATACTAACAGTGAGCATTTTCAGCAGTCAGTTAGAATTATTAACAACTGAATCTCTAAATAACAAAATAAAAAACGCAATAAAGTGAATGATTGCTCACAAAAAAAGAGAGAGAAAAAATCATCATAAAAATTTACGCAATAGACAATAAGCTGATATATGATAGAAGAAATGCCTGTTACTATTGGCAAGATTTTGTTTTTACCCAAGAAGATGGGTTTAAGCTGCCACATCAAAGCCGTTTGACCCAGTTTTTTTCTCGGGAAAGGCTGTATTCACATGAAAATCGTCATCACTGATTCCTTTAAATACATATCTAGTTATTCATGTCCTAAAAATTTTAATCGTGGCTCACTGTTGGATGGAGCTTTTGAACTAGCAAGAAAACAGGGCTGTCGATGTAGATAAAAAGCAACTGTGTTTCTAAGATTTGATCTGGCATATCATTAACTGGCACCGTTAAAGTGAAATAATAAATAGCCTACTATAAATAAAATCTATGTATAAATCCTAATGAGATAACAGTTTTACAGAATCAAGCAATGAGCCATGGTGTCTGTTCCACAGTTGGACAGAATTTTATGATATTTTGGCAGACATGCTTGTCAAGCCATAAAAGGCTATTTTTTAATGTAACTAACTGAATTTGTACAATTAAAAAAATAAAAAAATGAACTGATAATGTACGAAAAAATAAGAGAATAAAAAATAAATAAAATTGGTAACTTGAAAAACGGGGAAAAATGAAAAAAAGCAGGGTCAAATATGCAACTATCATGATACAAGTAGCAAGATAAAAATTGAAGCTCACTTACTTTAACTTATTAAATTATTAATTCGAACAAGTTATAGAATAAACAATAATGAGTAGTGAAGAAGCTTTTAACAATATTGTCCTGAACTTAATCATTCTTCAAATTGAAACATTCAGGTTGCAGAGTTCAAGTAGAAGTAAAAGTCTCCTGTGATTCATGCATTGAATATGCAGGAATATTCCTGGAAACTCAGTAAAATCTGAAAGGTAAAACTCTCTTTGAGGTTATGAAGGCCAAAAAATGAAATCTTCATCCTTTGTTTGACAAACTACGATAAGTATCAAAAATCCATTTCAGATTTCCTCTCAAATTTTAGCCCATAGGAGTTCTCCTTTCTCCTGGAGACATTTCAGTGAGAGGAAAAATTTAACTGAAACTATTATCGAAAGACATCGATTTATCGAATTTGATATAATGTTTCAAACCAACATCCTGAGAGAGTATACATTACAAATATGTTAGAAATTTTAGAAAATAAAAGACTTAAAGAAAGACATTGCACTATCCTGGCCGAAACACCGATTAAAAATTTCATAGGGACGAAATCGTCACCAGAAACAAAAACCTAATTAAAACCCCACCCAGCTGCTTCTATTGTGTTAAATAAAGTGGAACTACGTGAACAAACAAGGTATAATGTCTTTTCCTTCATCTAAAACCACCTGAGATTTATCAGAATAATTATTGAGGAGGAAAGACTTGAAGAGAAAAATCCTATGTGATAGGAAAGATTAGGCATAAGCAATTTCACTAATTGAATAAAAAAAGGTAGCAAAGGAGCACCAAAAGCAACCTTGCAATGAGAAAAATTTAGCTTTTGCACTCCGTATCAGGTGACAAAAAAAGGTAACACAAATAAACACGAAATGAATTGAAAAAATCCAACACTTGCCTTATGCCAGCGCTGACTCTTCTAATCCCAGTAACAAGATAAAGAAAGAACTGAATAATGCAGTTAATGCATGGACCAGGGAAAAAAAGTCACAGAAATATGAATACATAATTCCAAAAATATCACTTGAATGTTGTCTTACGAGCAGAGAGAGAAGCAAATCTTTCTCAATCTCGCTCTGAGTAATTCCAAGAACATGTAACAATTCATTTCTTTCCTTTCTTTACTCTATGGTTCTTTTTAAAGCATAGCGACAAAGGTTGGGATTACTTAAATAGTTATTTGGGGAGGTGAGATTAAAAATTTCACCTGCACTTCAAAATAATGTAGCAGAAATAGTTGCGAAGATTTTATACTTCTGTCATTTTAACATTAACAAGTAGGCAATACATAAGCTCGTAATTACTGAAGTAAGTATATACACTTTCAGGAATAAACATTCAACTGCTGAAAAAAAATTACCTCCAAGTGCTCGTTTGCAAGAGCCTATAAACCTTTCAAAGATTGTGCAATTTTCTTCAAGATGGATGGAAGTGTAACATTAACATCTGCAATGCATAGCTTCAATTTTTCCTCATCTAGAGTTCTGATGTGCCTCCTCTATTCATATCTTTTTCACATGATCGGGAATGTAAAAGTTTACGTCAAGATGAGTTCCCTGGATCAAGAATTTTTTGAGAAGACACCTTATCTACCAATAAAAGACACCAAAAATGATCAATATCTAATTAAGTGAGCAAGGTAATACAAATCCTGGGTTGCTTGTCAAATTGTGGTACAAGTCATTCAAACATTTGATAAATGATACATATGTGCTGTTTATGAGACCTATTCTTTGGATGCATTCATTTATATGAATGACTCAGATGAGAAAAATTGTAACTATGTAGCTTTTCTTGTGACATGTCAGAAAGTGGAAGGTAAGAAAATTTCTGGAGACCTTGTTTGATGATGAGTAAAAATTTGGAAAGAGTAAATAAAAAGCACATTTAAAACCAGGAAATTATGTACAAATGTTTCAATGATAAAACACTTTTAGATAAGTTCAGGACTATATCATAATATGCACTCGTACTAAAATAACTATACACAGCTCGGGATAAAGGAATGAGTTTAGTACGATAGTTGGTTTGAATACCTTACAGGTCTTAATGTTATAGTTTTATTTTACAAGTAATTTCTCTAAATATAATTTCTTAAGGGAATAAAAATATGTTTTATTGACTAGAAATAGTTTTAAAAATTTGTAAAGTGGAAAGAATACTAAATTGATCTAAGTAAATAAATAATATTTTCAATTTTTAAAAATGCATCGACAGTACAAGTAAATTAATTGGCATGAAGGTCACATTATGATTAAATTTCTCCTAGAGCAGCAAGCTGTGATCAGGCTCGTATATTCAAACATTGAATAACGAACAGGCTTCCTTTTAACTTTGACTGAAAACACAGTTAGTAAAAATAAACTTTCAATTTTAAGAGATTTTTTCCGAGGAAACTCAACAGACGTTTGAGATAAAACGTTCATCAAACCATTTTGTGCGCATAATTGTCTTCAGATCAGAGGAACTTGCAAAAAAAAAGATATTGAATAAAAATAATAAAAACCAACAAAAAAACTAATAAAACAATAGGAGCAAGGTCGAGACTACTCTTATTAGAAATAGATTCTTATAAAAAGCAGATAAATAGGCAAATTTTGTAGAAATGTTATGATGGATAAGTTCAGTTTTACATGGAACACACATATTTTTCTTTATTACCTTTCACTATCGGGCTCTAAAATATAAAATTATTTTGATCAATACTCAAACTAAAAAGAGAAGAAAAGACACAACATTTTTTATGCAGAATTCAGAGCAAAGAAGTGTATGCAAATTCAAGACAAAGTCTAATATTGCCCATTATTTCGATTAAACAAAAAAAAAAAAAAAAATTATTTTATCCCCTCCTTTTCAAAATAATTAAAATAACGATTCCATGTAAAGACAATTTTTGGCAAGATGATATTACAGTTTAAAAAGATTTGTAAATGCTAAAGACTAGATAAATGTCAAGTGAAATGACTAGAAACACTGACAGCCCACCCTGTCCTCCGTAAAAGTGGATTATTTAGGTTTTTTACCACTTCCGTTTGTTGGTCAGGAAAAAAACTGCCATGGTTACTATTCCTAAGTTGATCTCCAGCCTGGGTGATGATGATCTGGTGAACTATGTACTATTCACCACTGTTTTCTTTCCATAATGTCATGAAGAGCCCACTGAAAGTAAAAAAAGAGTGATACCTAAAATAATCTTTCCAAAAGCAATTTCAACCTGATACTGTAAATCGCAGTCTTCAGTGTTCAGTATGAACAGAGTTCAATCTCAAACTTCTCTGACTTTGGTTCGCCACTCTGTATCTTGCTCGGTAAAATGGCACTGTCCATGGTGAAAATTCATGGCAGGCATGTTGCTCACCATTTACAATTTAAAATGATAGTGGAAAAAAAGTTTGCTAAGTTCACTTAACGCCATTCGTCAAATTCACCTAAACATTTACCTTTGGCGCCTAAATATAAGAGGACTTAACCGAACATGACATCTCAAAAATTAATGAAGTCTGAACTTTTTCTTCTCCTCGCTTCTCACAAAAGTTCCAGCTACAACATCAGAAATTGAGGATGACTCCCAGAAACTAAGCGTGTTGGCTAACAGGCTCTTCAAATTTTAATATATGGTTGACTAATGAACCACTGGACAAGGTACAAATGTAAGCATTCTAATCTATGTTGCATCTTCAAAATTTCATGTAAACACAATTCAAGCGGTAAAAGTTACTTAAATTAACTCTGTACCAAGATGTCAAAGTTTTTGTTTAGCATTGGTGACAAAAAATTTGAATTTCCCACTCAGAAGAGGAACCAGAGTCTACATGAATCAAATCGCGCACTATGATGATTTTGGCATTGACTTTTTGATCAAGCTTTTTGTTCCTTCCCGCACCGTTTTGTCTGCAGTGTTGACAAAGGACATCAGCTAAGTCAAAGTGCCGAAACAGAGGTTGCCATATTTTCATACCGCAGAGATCGTTGCTGTGACGTTTGGTGCGCGACTTAACTCAAGTAGATCATGGTTTTTATATGAGCGTAAAGTTTGAACTTATGCATCAAAAAACGTTGGCAACCTTGGAGAAGTTACATTCAATAATTTTCATTCAGCAATTCTACGTGAAGTTTTGATGAGAATACACATATCACATTGCTCAGATTCGCACCTTGTGTAGTTGTCTTTTGTATATGGTATAATACGACACAAAGATACAATAAAAAAAAAAAAAAAAAATTGGCAAAAAAAATTTACGGATGTCTCATAGTCTTGAGGGTTTTCAGGAGATGTGTTTTACTCATTTAGGTAAGTGTTACAGGACCACTTGCCTAGTAGTCCTGCACCTGCAATCATTAATTAACACAAACTGAGGGATTTTGCCCAATTTGATTGTTCAATTAAAACATTTGGAGGATTTTATCATGAGACTCTTGGACAAATAATGTCTAAATGATCAAGCAGATTTGAAACACAAAATGAGACGTTCCAGAAATTTTCTGACCATGCAACAACAAAAAAATGAAAAGGGGCAATTCGTGTTAAGCATGAAAGTTGTTTGTTATTTCCAAAAACTGCAGCAATTTGTAAAACAAGGGCAGAAAGAGAGGAACAGGACATCACTCTAAAACCTTTAGGGAAAAGGCATTTTTAACATCTTCAGGCTAGGAATTCTTTGCATAAATGGTTAACCGAGTGTACTGCGGATGTTTAAGACGTAATGCTTATAACTCTCCATTTCTAACTATTAGAGTAATATGAATATATCAATTTGGATGTTCATTTCCACTTAGGTGTGGAACAGTATTCTGCTGGATTACTTAAATTCTTGAACGAACGGTGCATTTTTTGATAGAATGTATAAAAATTCAGTGAATCTGATTTTACTTACTCTGATCAACTCTTCTATAACTGCGCAAAATATGAAATTAGTAAGGCCTGTTGGCATCTTTTGGACGTTTTAACTGGACCTTCAACCGTTTCATTCCGATTTGGAACCCGTTCATGGCTTGAATGGCAGCTTGAGCGCTTGTTGCGTTGTCAAACGACACAAAACCTTCAAAAATAAAGTTAACAAAGTCAATAAAATATCCTCTGTAGTATTTGCATCAACACCTAAAAATAATAAAATTTGCGAAAACACTTTCAGTGACAGAAAATAACTATCCTGAGACGAAAAAATGCAAACTTCAAAATCTGTTCGAAGAATCTGGTCAGGATGGAATCAGAGGCGTGTACAAGTTTTATTGGGACAAGACAAAATTCATGGTTCCATGAATCAGTCTCTTGACTATTCCTCAAAAGTTACAGTTGAATAAAATTGACACTTTTCAACTGTCTCTTCTGCCTTTCACTGTCTCCTTGGATTTGGTAAACGACTGGTTCCTTTAATATTTGATGCTCTCGATGTGGCTTTTTCTCGTAGTAACAATTTAAGTTTTTGACTTTTTGTTCCTTCATTCCTTGTTAGTTAGAATATTTTAAACCATTTTAAAAATTTAAACAAAAATGGTTGACAGACTTTTTGAAATTTATGATCCTCATGCAATTGTTTCTAGTTTTAGTCTTAATTGGTTTCCTGCATTTTTAATTTTATTCGTAGGTATTACAGAATTTTAGTTTCCTACTTCAATACTTTTATACAGGGTTATCCAGAAGTCCGGGACCCCCCTTATAACTTTTGAACAAAAAATGCTAGAGATTTGAAATTTGGGGAATGTTCCTAGGTCAACGGGAACTACTTTTTGGCGTACCCAAAGTTTTGAGGGGCGCCCCCCCTGAGGGGGGGCGGACCCTAACTTTTTTTTTTCAAATGGGAACCCTTATCTTGTAATACATCATTCGAAAGGGCTTAAAAAAAGAAAATTCTTGGCGCAAACCGATTGTCGATACCTCAATTTTTAACAAAATGGCGGCTCATTCAAAAGTCTGGGCCTCCGCTCATAACTCATGAACAAAAAATGCTAGGGATTCGAAATTTGGGGAATATTCCTAGGTGAAAGGGAACTACTTTTTGGCGTACCCAAAATTTCCGAAAACCTGTGGAAACCAAGTTTCAAGCGAATCCGACGGTAAATAACCAAAAAACGCATTTCCGCCGCCATTTTGTTAAAAATTGAGGTATCGACAATCGGTTTGCGCCAAAAGTTTTCTTTTTTCAAGCCCTTTCGAATGATGTATCACAAGATAGGGGTTCCTATTTGAAAAAAAAGGGTTAGGGTCCGCCCCCCCTCAGGGGGGCCGCCCCCCGAAATTTAGGGTAGGCCAAAAAGTAGTTCCCTTTCACCTAGGAATGTTCCCCAAATTTCGAATCCCTAGCATTTTTTGTTCATGAGTTATGAGCGGAGGCCCAGACTTTTGAATGAGCCGCCATTTTTTGGCCGCCATTTTGTTAAAAATTGAGGTATCGACAATCGGTTTGCGCCAAAAGTTTTCTTTTTTTAAGCCCTTTCGAATGATGTATCACAAGATAGGGGCTCCCATTTGAAAAAAAAAAGTTAGGGTCCGCCCCCCCCCTCAGGGGGGGCGCCCCCCAAAATTTTGGGCACGCCAAAAAGTAGTTCCCATTGACCTAGGAACATTCCCCAAATTTCAAATCTCTAGCATTTTTTGTTCAAAAGTTATAAGGGGGGTCCCGGACTTCTGGATAACCCTGTATTTATGCACTAAGGTGTCCATATTTTCTCTAATGAGTATAGTATTAGTGCTGATTACAATTGATTAGCCCCAGAATTACCAATGAAGAAGGAAAAAAAAGATTAATAGATTAGATTCTACCGACAGTAACTAATCTTGTTCTTGAGCTGCTTGCTGAATCTTGGCTATCGGTAAAACTCAATGTAGGAAATCTATACAAAATAGGTGTCCAAAAAGAGGAGGGGGATTTTTATAGTGTTTGAGCACTACAGGAGCGCAGGACTGGCTCCTTTTTCTCGCACACATAATTTTAATCATTAGGGAACATGAAGACAAAAAAGGAACTTTGCTTTGATAGGACCTGAAAGACTAGACCATTGAATAGAAAACAGCTCTACTCACCAAAACATTTACTTTGATTTGTGGCTCTATCAATAAATACTTTAGAACTAATGACATTTCCAAAAGGCAGGAACATTTGCATTAATTCAGCATCACCGAATTCCTGAGGTAGATGATATATAAATAAATTGCATCCTTCTGGGCCAGAAATTGAACAACCTGGGAAACAGCACACTGAAAAAAATCAGGAAAACCATCTTACTTGTGCCAGGAAAGCGGCTGAGCAGTGTTCAAAGCAATACAATTACATAAATGATTATCAACAATGACCTTAGTGATTCATTTTTAAACATGATGTAAAATATTTTTACATAAAAACCAACATTTTAGTTCTTTGAAAGAAAAACTATAAGTAAGTTCACTTGCACTTAATTAGACTAGGCGACTCAATATTAAACAATACAAAGAAAGAAAAAGAAAATTAATCTTGGTCTTTTATTCTTAAGGCAGTATTCAGAGTCGCTTCTCAAATAGCTCCTCTCCGTAGGAGACCCTTTATGGTTAGCCCTGTTATGCATCTATTCTTATGGGTATCAGGGCTCACATCTTAATGCACATAGTTCCGTTTGGCAGAAATACGTCCAAATGGGGCTCCCTAGGGCTTCCTGACGCTCCTGCGTTAAAAGGAACAACTGTGAATGTCTTCTACAGTTCCCAAACTTTGGCCTAATAAGTATTCTTCAAGTGTTCTTGCCATTCATTAAACCATAGTGTGGTCTGTCATTATGCTTGGATTGCAAATTCTTTGGTGTAGTTACTCGGTGCAGGTGATTGTACACTTGCATATGAATAATGGGTGGACTAGGTCGAACCATTTTACAAAACCCAAGTGAATAAAACAGGTTTACAGTGAGGCTCACCGGGTACAGTTTCCTTTTGATGCAACCTATTTTCTTTTTGTTACTATATGTATTTATTCCAGAAAATATGCTGGGTCTAATTATATCATTGTCTCATTATGGATTTTGATAAATGAAAATTGAACTCTCCTGTGTTGATTAAAAGTCATATAAGTATGCCACAACCAAATGAAACACACATGGTAACAGATAAAAATAAAAAAGGAGACATTTAGAAACACAAACGAGAAGCATACCGCCTACAGAGATGAAATAAATAAATAAGTAAAAAAAAGACGGTACAAAAAGATTCAAAAATAAAGTTTTTGGTACACCATTCAAATGACTTAACAGAGATAGGACAGATATGAAAGTTAACAGACAAAAGAGGTGCAGAAAATATGGAAATCAACATTTCCTTCGAAGCCCCTTGCCAAGACTTCAACTTTCAAGTTGGATCTTTTGTGGTAGAATTTTGAACCAAATTTTGAATTTTTGAGAAATTTTTTTCGCTTCAAACTCATATGGTCAGACACTGATATTTCCCAAATATATACAATTTTTTCGTTCTTTTAATTTTATTTGCTTACATCGCCCTTAAATATGGAAGTTTAGACCCTCCCCCTTTTCCCTCAACTCACACCGTTCTTGAGGTCTGAATATCACCCTAACTGGAATGATATCAAGCGTTACTAAGAATCCTCAATTTCCCTCTTATGAAATTGCATAGTTGTTTATATTTACATAAGAACTATCCAAAATTTCCGTACTTTCCATTTGTATTTTATGTGCTTCCAAGGTCCATTCATAAAATATGCAACACTCCAGGGGGGTTTCAAGGGGATAATTATGCAGTTTTGTTTGTGCATGTTAAATAATACAGACCTATATAACAAAAGCGTTACGAGGGGGGGGGGGGAGGGGTCAAAAAATCCAAAATTTAATGTTAAAAGCATGACTTGATTTAAAAACAACCTCAGAAGCTTAAAATTAGACATTTTCTGCATCTCTGACACAAAAATTTATAGTATGTTAATCATAATTGATGGAACTTGTTTTTAAAAACGTAATTATAAGAAAACAAAAGTACAATGAACTAGTGCACAATAGTCCTGTCAAATTCCTTAAATGGATAAAAACTAAGAGACGATTTCAGGTGAAAAAAGTTTTAAGTTAAATTGAACGGCTTGGGTAAAAGCTAGCACTCAGTTGCTCTGAATGTTAAAGCATACATATTTGTCTTTTTCCTTTATCTTAATTCCTTGTTTTCTACAGCAACCATCTGTGTGCGATGTTTTTTTGGGAGTGCTATTCTTGTGTGGTTCCGTTTTTCATTGTATCAAATTTCTCGTTTGTTCAGGGAATTTTGAATCTATGTCTTATTACTGTAATAATAAGAGGTATAATGAACTGAAGAAATAAAAAGAGTGGTATCAGCAAATGAACAAGGCAAGTAAAATTTGATGGAAATTACCTTCTCTCTGAGAAGCAGACACTGTTGGTAATGGTTGGGCAATCGCCTGAGGATACTGACTGTAGACCGCTGAGTATGCCGCTACATGAGGAGAAATAGTAAAAAAAAAAACGGCAACATTCAGAATTTATGACATCAAGACGAACAACCAGATTTTTCGACAGTTACTTGCAAAAATTAAATAGGAGTTTAGTCAAGAAGAATGAAGGAAACAGGTAAACTCCTCAGCTTCGTAGGGACACTATAGATGGATATTGAATTCTAAAATTTTCACTGTCAAGCATTGTTGCTAGATTGTGCTAAAAATTCAGCACATTTATCCATTTTACTCAATGTTAAATATCCTGATCTTTTCACACAATCTGGCAACCTGACTATAAAGTGTAATCTGTGACTTGAGAATGAATTACTTTTGTTTTTATTTGTGACAGAGGTGAGAGGTATGTATTTTGAAACAAATTTTTAAATAAGGACTTAAGAGGTTATGTTTTGATAGAAATGACGAAAGGCTGATTCTAAAAAGTAATTTAGTATTAGTCACAGGAGAAAAAAAGGAGAGTGAAAGCCTGCTAGAAGTAGCAATTTTTTTAACAATTACTTTGAATGATTTTTATGATACAAATCTAATTCAAGGACTTTGAAAATGAAAAAAGCAAAAATACTTGTGTGTGAAGGATTCCAAAATACTTCACCATATCACTCACTTATTTGGCCAAAGTTAGATTTTAAAAACATTTCCTGTCGTTGCTGATAATTTCATACATTTTCGCTGTTTTAAGTGTAACATCAATCAAAAAAGTTACATCGATGAGGGACTAGTTCACTCTTTCTTTACATTTTAATTACTTAGAGCTCCTGTTTCCCTCTTCATCTTTCTATGCAGATTCTTTGGATTGATCATTTCATCTTTTGATGACAGAAAAATACAGAATGTAATAATAATATTCAGATGAAATGATCCATGTGACTATCGGCTATTGCCAAAGTACACTGAAAACATATAAACTACGTACTGTTTGTAGTATCTCCTGTTGATAAGAACGTGGACCATTTCACACAGAAATCTTATACTTAAGACATATAATGTGCACCACTGAAAAATACTGCCAGTGTGAAGTTATACCATGCCAACTGTGCAACTGAACAACATGTTAAATTTTTAGGTGATATACATATCAATGGATATAACTGGGTGTTTAAAATACTAAAACACGGAAATGCTGATTTATTTTCAACTGTTGGAGGGATTTTAAAAAAGCTTTGCTGCAAACGGAAAAGGAGCCTAAGTACCAAAAAAAAGTGGGAAATCAAAGGAGAAAAGAGACATTCGCCACAATTTGAATCACAGAATTTTTCCTAAATCTACTTACTTTAAAAAATTAAGCATAAAACTTGTTCACGCCAGAAATATTGCAAAAATCAACCCCTCAGTTTGTGTAACAGTTGGTATTTAAAATTAAAATGTGTCAAATGCAGACATTTTATAGACCAATGATTTCTTCTGTATATTTCCATTCAACGAATTGTAATCCTAGAAATTGATACTTGGCCTGAGCATTGCTTTCAAAAATAATTTATGTATGCATACAACTGATCAAGTCTTAGGTATTGAAGGAATCGCTTGAAGCAATAAATCACTAAGACCTTCATTGGATATTTAAGTTTAGGTTTCAAAGTATGTTTGCTGTGATGCAAAGTAAACAAGTCACTACTAGATTATTCAATTATGCAATCTTTTGAGTTGCTTACTAAGGCAAGAAGAAATTTATCTCCTTTCTTTCATCATTTATTTATTTTAGTGATGGCAATCTTTGCCTTGAAAAGAATATCACTTTAGCTGTAAAATATTGGAAAATTTGGACAAATTTTATTCAGAGCTATGTTGGACTTTTTGTGTGACAAAAGCGTTTTCTTAGGCAGATGAAAAAAATCCATCCTTTAAGGGTTAGTATTTTGCATCAATCCATCCTTTTTTTCCTACTTGTGCTCACATGGGTAAAATTTAGGGGCTGATGTGAGGTGGAAAAAAATTAAAATTAGAAAGAGGAGGGGAGGATTTTAAGAGGAACGAGGGACTTGGTAAAAAAAAGAAGGTATACCAAAGTTTGGATTTGAGAATAAATTGTACCAAAGTATTTCTACTCTTTTTCTATTGATAGGTACATAGCTTTGATTTCATTAGCGTGCACTTTGTATTGCCATTAAAAATGTACGAATAAATATCGTTGATATAAACTTAAATGAGCTGGAAACCTCTACTTGGGCTTGATACCTTTTAAATATTTACTCCAGAATAGTCCTTCTGATGGGTTGTTTTTTTGGTTCTCTTATTTTGCTAATCAAAATTTGAATAGAGACATCAAGACCAGCATCAACAAAACATCAAACGTTCAAAAAATTGCGAGAAAACAAAGTTTTTTTGACACGGAGATACACAAAGCAAGCACAAAAAAAATTGGCAAGTCTAAAAGTTGGAGTGATAGAAAGACTTGAAGAGACACTTACGAACACTAGGGTAGGCAGCGGGCTGGATTCCTGTGAAGGCAGCATGCTGAAGTGCAGCTGTATCCCCATTCGTCAACCCTGCAGTCGGTATAGAGAGGTGAAGGGCATCTAAAAATATAAAAAATATATTATATTTCACAAGTTTGTCATTTCCACTTGCTGAGATTCAATGAGAGCCCCTTAGTGATGTATGAGCTTATTGTTATAATAATCCATTATTTATAATCCATCTCAGAAATCTCGGGATAGAATAAGAGTAAAATGGACTTCGAATTCGCTGAAAATTAGTAGCTTTGTAAGGTCTTTAAATCTCATAGTTACAAAAACCACACTACCTCAAGGGTGCCATAATGAGATGCATCCAAATGGTTATCAAATCGTTCACCAGTGAATAAAAGGTGAAACTCCCTGATTTTACTTAGCCATTAGAGATGTTTATGATCTTCAGATAATTTTGCCATGTTCTGATTTCATGCTTTAATTTAATGCAGAAAATGCATCGAGAGGTCAGATTTCAGCACTTAAAAATGAGAAGAGCTGGTTTGATATAGCATCTAAAAAATCAGTGAGGCCATAAGTCTCCTTGTTCATTGTAAAAACATTGCTAGTTAAAATCTTAAAGGTTTTTCAAATGGTATGAATGACTTAAGTACATCCAACCAAACCAAAACTTGCCAAAAATTACTCCCCAAACAAATGGCTCCTAAAGTTTTGTCGTAGGTAAAGTTCTGAGCACTCCTTAAAGTTATGCTTAGCATAATAACAGAAATTTAATGTTATGAAATATTTAAAAACTGATTTATGACAAATTTAATTAAAACTTACGAGCCGGGTATGTTTGAGGTAAACCATTTGTATAAACAGATTCGGTCGCTGCAGTAGGTGTCCCATTTGGCGTTTGTGCAGTGATGCCAAAATTAGGGATTGTCGGCGATGGCAAACTGGGAAGAGTTCCATTGACAGCTTGTGCTCCACCAGTTGCAACTGTTGAAAACACATTATAGGTGAGTAACAAATCTAATGAGAATTCAGATCAAATTCCTTTTTTATTTTTTTTTTTTTTTAAGAATAGTTTTAGCTGAAAAACTGAGGAAGATGAATCAGCGAGTCAAATCACTAAAATTTAACCCCTTCATTAGAGGATAAAATAAACTCGCACACGGCTCTTGAACTAAGTAAATAATGCTTCCAGAAAAGTGCCCCTACGGTGCAAGGCAGAAGAGTTTACACACTATTAGAGTCAATGTGCAATTGCGCACTGTTGGAGTGTATCAGAGGATCAGCTATCTTGTCTTGTGGAGCTAAAAAATCTGCGTAAGGATGCCAAACTTCGACCAGTTTTCGCCGACCTCATGACACTTTTGTACATCTCACATGAGATAGTTTGGCCCCCCATGAGGGTAAGGCTTAACAATCTGTCTTCAGGTTAGCATCAAAAGTGAACACAAGGATCAAGCTGGAGGATTTTCTGCTGCACTCTACCTAATGCTTAGAAATTCTGAGCGTAGACTCCAGAGTGCAATAGACCTGCATATTTCATTTCAACAATGCAAGTAAATACAGTATAACTACAAAAGGTGGAAGGTCTTCCATTCCAGCATTAAATTGTATGATCTTGCTCAATATGGACATTGTACTAATAGCTCCCTTGCAACTATGAATGTATAATCTTGAAAAGTTAACTTTCTAGACATATCTGGGCGGATCATCAAGGCACTACATTTGCATGAATAAGAGATCATTCTGTGATACCTGTTTTAAATTTAAATGACCTTCAAATAAGAAAATATTTTATGTTAAAACCAACTAAGTAGTCTTCAGGTATTAGGGCCACTAATTCATAAGAAAATACACTGAAGATTCTTCAAGCCTCAAATTCCGTTGGCAAACTGTCAGCTTTATTCCATCCGGCAATGCATTTTATCATGATCTTGACTAGTCCAAAATAAGAAGCTTCAAAACCTTAAAATATCTAAATACTTACATCAACTAGAGCATTACATTCCCGCATCGTTCTTAATTTTACAATCTGAACATATGTGTAGCCGACACTGGACGTGTATAGCGAGCCTAATTTGAGTATATTTCCTACTTGATGTCTATGCCCGTAATCCACGTGGGATGTTAATAATACAGCCAGCTGAGGGCATGATTATGAGGGAAGAAATTAAACTACATTTGATCGATGTTGGCTTGTCTAAACTTCACACTCGAAAGTGTAACGACACATTTTGTCATTCAGATGTTCGTTACAATTTAAATGAAAATATAAGAGACTTATCACCCTTAATGGACACTTTACTCGAAATTTAACACATTATTAGAGTCATTTAAGAACTCTGCGTCGAATAAATCAATTAATCAAGAAAAGATAGGAAAAAAGGTTCAACATTGGATTCGTTAGTCGTTACTTGTTTACAAAGTTAGGCATGTGCATCCTGCATCGTGCGCGTCACGTGCTGCGCATGCGCCATGAGCGCTGCAGTTTATGAATGAACCGTTCAAAACGCGATGGACCAATGAGATAACAAGAATCCATCATCGTCAGAGGTCATCGAACTCATCTTACTCATCGTAGTACTAGTCGTAGTATTTTGTAGTAAGTGTTGCCAGATCGAATGAGTAAATAACGAAAAGCCGCGAAACATGCGAGAATGTACGAGATTTCGGTAGGAATTTTGAAATTGCTCATCGTGCGCGCTCGATTAACACGAAAACGAACTAACGTTCCTTACATTATCTATTCTGAAAGGTACCAAAGGGTGTTTTCCGTCGCAACATGAAAAGGGGTTCATTCAAAATTGGCAAATAGGTCCCAAGCGTGGCTTTGGACTATTTTCTACTGTGTTCTTCAGACATGTCTCTCTGCAAAATTTCGAAGGCTAAATGAATTTCTTTCCGCGCAGCAGCGTTGCCAAGTGTAAAACTGTAAAATTCCATATTAATCGAATGAAAAAAGATTACGAAGTGAGGTTTGCGCGAAAATTCTCCTAAAAATACGCTCTTTTCTAATCCGTCATAAAATTGGAGGTTTTAGTGATTCGAGTTTGCGGTGTTGCCGTTTTTAATATTTTTTCGTGATTGATTTTTTTAAAAGTCAAAAGCCACTTGTCAAAACCAAAAGAAAAAGCTGTTCATTGTGTAGGCCGCATGTTCCCTTACACGCGGTGATGTTCTATCTTTAAAGAACCTGGGGGAGAGTTATGAGCATTTGAAGATTACGCTCTGCGCGCGTTGACAGCAGTCTGGCTGGGCGCACGCGCGGCACGCTGCTTTGCCATCCTGAGCTCTCTCTCCCCCCCCCCCCCCCAAAAAAAAAACTCTCTTATTCCCGCTTGTACATGGTACTTACGGGTTGCTCTACTAGTGTGCGGCAGATTCCAACAAGTGAAAAAGGAATATCCCCAGATAAGACAGAAATATTTAGCCAATATTTAAACAATATTGTTTTGATATATGCAAACATTGGGCCAGTATTGGTTAAATATTGAGCCAATGTTAAAAGTGTACACCATATTTCCTTTTGGCATGATACTGTGCCAATACTTTAAAATACTGTGAAATACTGTGCCAATACTGTGAAAATATTTTTATAATATTTTGGGTAAACATATTATTTTTAAAAATACGAAATGGAGATTCTTTAATTATTTTTTAAAAAAATAATTTTAATTAACATATTATCAAAATATTGTCAGTATTGTGTAAATATTGCGACAATACTGACAATATTTGCCCAATATTGTAAAAATATTTTGTCTTATCTGGGTCAATATTGACGTTGCACCTCGCAAAAATCGTCCAATCTGTGTAAAAAGGAATGTCGTTGAAGAATTTTGATTTCAGTGAACATTTAGCGGTTTCGATGAGCCTTCGAAATCTTTAAAAATGGCAACATTTTCGCATTTAGTCGCCTGTTTTTGCTATTTTCCTTGAGGATCATCGAGAGTTTCGGATGGTAAAGTTGTTCGTGGATAGCTTTTACATGATCTAAAATGCACCTCCCATTCCCCCTAAAGGAGCCCCGCCCCCTCCTCCACCCCTTCAAGTCTCACAGTACGTGAGGTGAGTTATTGCCTAATTTGCTATACGGAATTCAATTTTGAATGAATTCTTATGCGGAATGATGGGAAAGACTGGTTAATTTCCATTGTTGCATAACCTTAGAGACGATTATGGTTTTCTCAAAGATAAGTTTTCGGCAAAAAAGGGGGATTATTGGATTTGTTAAGCTGAGATTTACAATGCGGGTCGGTAGCGTGCGATTCCAATAGTGCAATAAGAGCCCATGTCAAAAGTTACGAGTGTAAGGCGTCGATATCGTGTTAGGTCAGAAAATCAATCTCCCTCTTTTGGAGAAAACTTTTCTTTGAGAGAACTTCAGTCGTCTGTGGAGAGATCAAAATAATAATTTAAAAAAATAATAATAATTATCATTAAAAGAAACCACACAATTTTATAAAATTTTCTCGGGCTAGCTACTTTTTCGAAACTGAGTACCTAATGAAGTAAGATCCCTGCTTCGTTGATCCTCGCGTTGTATAAGAGTTGAGAGAGGACATTACACATTCTTCGTTATTTTTAGTCTCATTCTCTCCCAAAACTTGGAACGCTTCACATTTTTTTTCTTTCATCTTTTTCAAAATTAATTGCAGTATACTCATGTATACTCTTGAATGTACGCTCTTTTTTTCCGAACTAAACGTTTCTGATATGATGATTTTCTCGCTGGCGATCGTGAAGTTTTGGTTTTATTGTAAGGGGAGTAAACCTGGATCCATGTTTGAAATAGTGTCCACCGAAAAGTTTACCCGCGGACGCGAGAGCGGAGGAAATTGAAAGGTTTACGGCTCCCCGTCCGACTTTTAAGCCCTAATTTATGTTTGAATTGGCGGAATACGAAGGGAAAACTAAGACCTCTTAAAGCGAGTCTTTGATATGCGCCACCAAACACAAAAGAAGCAAAACTTAACTCGTAAAGATAAATAAACAGAGACAAAGAGGGCAAAAAGAGAGAAAAAGAGTATGAGGAGAGAAAGAGTAATGAAGGGTGAAGATCTCAACGTGTTTTTTCGTTTGATAAAGGCAACTTGTTGTTTTTCACTGCTTGAGTCTCAGCGCCGCTTCTGTGTTCCTTTATCTACCTTACTTATCTAGACTTGTGTATTACTTTTTAAGGTTTCTCTCCAAACTGAAAGAGAGGGAGCTTAAGAATTATAAAATCATGTAGACTGCTCATTCTTTCTGATAGAAATACATTCCCGGACGAAAAAAAGAGGGTAAATCTTCGTTTCCCCTAAACTTATAGAACTTTTGCGAATGAACCTCACACTATAGGCTCACATAAGGGTTCATTGAGGAGAGCTTAGTGTTTAAGAAAGAAAATCACGGTTGCAAAGGTGATGAATATGCATACTGCCGTGCTAAGGAAAAACGCCGTATGAACCTTCAGCCGTTCCCAAATTTCTTTTAATAAAACACAAATTTCTTGGTAAACTTATGAATATTCTCCTTCAAATTTTTCAAGTAATTTTGTTCGCAATTTCACCAAAAGTTTTTTCAAACCTATTTCAAGGAAAAATATTCATAACTTTCCTTTAAAAAAAAAAAAAAAAAAAAAAAAAAAAAAAAAAAAAAAATTATCGAAGGAAATTTGGCAACTCTCGAATGTTCATACAGCGTTTTTCTTTAGCACGGCAGCATAGCAGTTGATACTTGCTTATGAAAATCAAGAGGTCTTCAATTTTTACCAAGGTAAAAGACAAATTAAGAAATAACGCAAGGATCTGGAAATAGAAAAGCACTAGGTTTGGACGGTTCCAAGTTTTCTTTGATAAATGAACTTATTGCCATAAGAAAACTGACTGATAAAACTAGTGTTTCAGCGATGCGCTATGCACAATTGCTCAGGTCATATACCTGGTATATCCGCCCTGAGTGGAAATATCGATTTTTCGAATTACCTGTTGTAGGAGGAACAACTGGGTTGCCAACTCCGTTGAGTGTGGCATGAGTCAGGACTGTCATTGGATTCAGATACGAATTCTGTGCTGCTGCCATCAGCGCTGCTTGCTGCTGAAAGTGAGAAGAACAAAAATGAATGTTATGCACATCATAAAGTTATCCTTTCCTCCGAGGAAGAAGTAATTTTTGAATTTTTTCTCTCTCTTCCGCTTTTTCTGAGGAAATTTCTCTTCTTCTCCTGAAAATTTCAAGAAATATCCTACAAGGCATACACCTAATTCCTTTCAGAATCGGTGCAATAACATTCTCTTTAAAAAATAATTTTTAATGAATTTTGGCAAAAGCTGGCACGGAAAAAAACATGATAATTTCAACTATATTCCTGGCTAATTTTGGCGCCAGCCAGGAAAGTAGCCAAAATCAGCCCAGAATCCATTGAAGAGTCCAAATGGATCGCAAAAAATCGAACGACGGCATTGGATTTAATCCACTTAAATGTATGTAAAACAATCGATATCTATCGAGAGAGAGCCTCAACTAAAATAGATGAAGTCTAATGGATTTACATGGAGGAGATACATTGTTGCCAACTTTCCAGAATAATCTCCAATTAGATAACAACACAAACATTAGCAAATAACCAACTATACATCGTTGCACGACAAAACACGATCAGCTACGTTAAACATTCTCCGACGGACATCAAGTAACAACAACCATTTGGTAATACCAACCAGAGGCAAAACATTTTAGAGGCACATCGCTTATCATTCGAGTAAAAGAAACGAGCATGGCTAGATACAAAATATCTTGGCCAACGCCGCACTGACTATTCAAAGAGAGGCGCATTTTTCAACCAAAAGAACTGTACAAAAAAAAATGTCCAGGTAATGTATGGATACTGCTGGATCCATTACGTCGTTCTCGGAACGAGAGACCAAATATTGGACTTCAATTTGACCTTAGTAAGTCAGAAACGTACCAAATCGTATCGAGTTTGAACCGAGAAAAAGGGGGTTGAAGTTTTATCTCTCCATGACATTCAATGGTAAGAAAAAAGTCTGATTGTTTTCACGTTAAAAATATTTTTTCTCGGAATTAAATTTTTGACGGGAGAAAATTTCCACCAGTTGAATTTACAAGTACGCCGCCCACTTTATTATTCTCCAAAATACGATTTAGCGCGTTTCTGCTTAACTCAGTTCACGTTGTAAAATTGACGGTTCCTCTTGAAGTTTTTATTCAGAAACTGTTGGGAATACTTCATCAAAGATTTTACTTATATTTTCACAGATTGGAGACAAAAGTCGACAACATTTTTGATAGAAACTCCAACCGACTTGACTGAATTTCTGATTGACTTGGAACTGAGTTATGTTCTTTTGTCTAAGAAACGACACAATTTCTGATTAGCTCGGTTATATTTGGCTACATGGGGCTCTTTAAAGTCCAATAATAGCAAACCTCATGATACGGTTTAGGACCGTGTATCACCAGCCATCATTGAACGGAGATGAAGAAGACTACGATGAATTCTGGGTTGGTGGGACAGTTTGTATCCAGCGCAGATTGTTTCTGTTGAAGTCGATCTACTTTTGGGGTGAAATAGCGCTGTGCCTCCCGCTTATTTTGACTTTGAAACTAACCGTGGGTACATTAATTGAACAGAGGCTAAGCGAAAACAAAGGAAACATTTACACGAAGGAAAAATCTGCGTAACATTACTTGGAGGCTCATGAACCGTTTGCTCCACATTGATCCTCTTGGCAAACGTACTATCTGAATTACGTTGGAGAACAAGAATTTTAAACTAACCCCTTGAATGAGTGATCAAGAAGAAAAATTTTAGGTTTCTTCACTTGAGGTGATTGAGTTTTTTCAATTGAAGTTAATATAAATAAATCAGCATGCTTCATAAAGGGAAAGGTACTGAAACACGTCCGTCATTTTTACAAGATTTGACGTATAAGTGGGTGTTCAATTTTACTTTGTTTTCAGGACTTCGGAATATATGGGGGAAGGGGACGGTAAATATCGAATTACTTTTTTCTTTTGGTCACTCAAATTCAGAAGTTAACTAAGGACGGCTATAGAGTTTTCGAAAACGAAGTACTCTTAAAATTCAAGTACCTTGGTTGTTGCATCTTGATTGTGGGTCGTGGATGTTTCCCGTGACTCGGTCATTAAGACATAAGCCACGGGATGAGTTTGAATACTATCCTGAAAAATCACAAAAAAAATTGAACTTGTACTGCAGGCTAAAAAAATGCAGTCAGAAATTCACGAGGAGAGGGTGTTTAAAGTACATCTATCTCTTAATATGTTTTCACATTTCTTTTCAAATCGCCTGTTTTGAAAATGCTCAACTCTGGGCGGGAAATAAAAATAAAAAATACCAAAATTAAATGATCTGAATTCGTACGAACATTTTTAGTGAAGCACAAAGGATTCTGCAGCCAAAAATACGAAACTTTTCGGTCCTTTTAATGGAACTATATGAAAACCTTTGAAATCCGAAACAAACGAAATTTGTGCCTGTCTAGGAAAAAAGTATGCACTCGGTCCTAAAAACCACTTATCCACAATGAAACGATACTTTAATTTTTTCCGAGGTGGGAAGTTTTCGAGGCAAGACATACATTTCCTCTGTAATACAAGCTTTCGTCTCTAGTTCAATTCAACGATCTTGTCTATTCTGTTCTCTGCCGCAATCAAGAACTGCAATTCCTTTTTCAGCTCTCTCGTGTCTCAATTCAAATCTTAATTGAACCGATCATTTTCCAAATCACGTAAGCGCTAATCTCTACTTTGGTAGTAGAGTGGTTGTTTCTCCTTTTTTTATCCGGTATAATCAGTCATATCTGATTTTAAAATAGCCCTCTAAAAGAACATAATTTTTTGGAATTCGAGGATTGTCAACAAAGCGAACAAAACTGTTTTTTTTTTTTTTGGTTTTCCTCGCATTCGCAATTTTGGCACTTTCGTGTTTTGAAAAATCGGTTCAATTTTGAATTCAGTCTAAAAATTTGAAAGAATCTTTTGTACTTCGAGCGTGCGAGCTTTCTTGTTTTTTTTTTTGTTTTTTTGGGTTTTTCTTTTTTTACTTCTTCAGACCAAACCGGCGTTTTAAGTCCCATCCCTCCTCCGTCCCTACTGAACTAGTCCTAGGCAACCATCGTTTGAGACCATCAATCTCGGGTCGCCTGGCCGGGAATCGAACCCGGGGCCTCCCGATCATAAAGCTACCCTGGTAAAAATTGGCGATAGTAGCTGCGTTTCAAAATACCATAGGAGTTCTTAGCCGACTGAAGAAGGCGATAGAAAATCATATAGCTGGCTGTAGAAAGCGGAAAAAATCATACGACCGGGCTACACGAAGCGATAAAAAATTATACAGCCGGGCTAAAGTTCCTATCGCCGGGCTTTACACTTTATCGCCTGGCTGTTGCTTTTTCGCCATCGGCTATAAAAGGCTATAAGAAATTTTGTAGAAATTTGTGTGCTTTGTAAATCCTTAAGTTTGTACGGAATCACCTTAATATATTTACAAAACGCACATTATATTTTCCTTTACTACATATTTTTTTCATCAATTAAAATGAGAATAAACCATACAGAGTGTGCAAACATTTCAAAGTCATGAGTTGAAAATGCTGACTCCACGAGATTAAATATTAGAGCCTAACACAAAGCGGAGCGGCGGCGCACTGCGCAATGCGTGAAGTCTCCCTGTTAGGTTTGTAGGCGCCAATGCGCGTTTCGCGCTGGCTGCCCGCCCGCCGCGCCGCGCCGCAGCGTACCACGGCGCTCGAAGCGACTATTTCACACCAGAGGTATTGCACAGTATCATACGAAATTGAAAGCGCTCCAACATATTAGGAATGGCAGGCATCCTTCACAAGTACGGAGCTATCCTCGCAAAATAAATCAAGATACTACGGCCCACAAAGAGAACGGTAGTCCAAAAACTCACTAAGTCCTAGCATCCGTAATTAGTAACGTTTAGCATACACTTTATCGCCAGGCTGTTGCTTAATCGCCATCGGCTATAAAAGGCTATAAGAAATTGTGTTGCTGGCTATAGAAGCTATTGGAAATCTTACAGCCGGCTGTAGGTCTATGGTATTTTGGAACACAGATTCTACTGCCAATTTTTACCAGGGTAGCGCTACAACCACTATACACCATAGGGAGCCGACTGAAAAATTCTGAATAATTAATTATTAAAAAAGGAGCGGGGGAAAATAAACACCCACGCAAAGCTTTCCCCCTCATTTGCGGCCTACATCTTCACTTAAACATATTAAAAGGGTGGCCGAAGCTTAAGCGCATTAATGAGCTGGAAGATAAAAACATGATAATAACCATAAAGCATAAAGCGGCCGGGAGTCATTTAAAACGACAACGACCACGCGAACGGGCGAGCGGTGGTGGGCGTGTAGATTCGCGTGGACTAAGATGATAAATGCGCCCCCCCCCCCCCCCCCCCCCCCCCCCCCCCCCCCCCNCGTACCGTTATTAAGTGCATTCTGTCGAGGGTCAGTGAAATTGTTACTGGCTTCGCACCTTCCTCGAGGTATCAAGATTAATTATTTTCGTTGGCTCGCCGGGAACGCGGCCGGCCGGAGCCAAACCGCAGGCCGGGGCTTGGCGTGTGATAAAAGTTGCGGTCGGTGGAATTGAAGGGGCTTTTAACTTTCCGCGCCTCCGTTTCCCCCGTCGCGTCGCACAGTGGGACGAGACACTCAGAGAGGTCGAACACGAAATTTTTGACTGAAACCACAAATCTTGATGTTTAATTCGTGACATTTTAAATTTGAAGGGGTGCTTACTGAAAAAAATTTGACGGGGAAACCGATGGAGCCATTTTTAGAGCCTCAAAGTTTTGTATAAATGGAGTTATAAGCGTTTAAAGTTTCCAAATTTTATCCGACCTCTCCGATGGACTCGATCCACTGTGCATCGGCTCAGGCCTGACCTTTCACTCAGCACGCTGAGCCTCCCCCCCCCCCCCCTTCTCTCTGTCAGATTGCGTTGAGGTTTTTCAAAAGCTGTATTCGGAACTCCCTCAAAACAAATTGAACTTTATTTCGACGAAATTTAACTTTAATTTACGTTATCCCAGGTGGTCTGCGGCATGAGTTCCGAGAATTTTAAAGACTATCGAATCGCTAAAAGGTTACATTTTGATCCATTAAAAATTGAGGCATCGGCTCAAAAAAAGGAGCATTGTTGCCAGATTATGCTGAAAAATCAACGCTATTTAATTGCATAGTATATACATCACTTTAATTGCACAACTTTGAAATGGGAAGAGCGGAAGTAGTCAATACTCTCTCATGTTATGAGTATTCCTCCTCTGCACAAAATATTTGATTTCCGCTGTAATGAGAGTAAGCTCCATCTTCAACCCTGCCTTAAACTGTTGAATTTCAATGGTTAGTTTGACCAAGATCAAATTACGATGTGTGTTTCCGCGACTTTGCGATCCGATTTGAACTTAAAAGAAGTTTTCCTCGTGCTCTTTTTCAACCCTCAATTATATTTCGCAACATAAAAGGCAATCGTGTTTAAACTTTATAGTTTCACGAGAAGGAGCTTTATATTTACACGCGTCATGTGCAATTTTTTGAGTCATAATTTATTTTTTATGATGAAGCAAAACATTGTCCAGGGAGCAAGGTCTTGAGGAGAGATCAAGCCTGCACCAATTTTTCACGTGTCAGTTTGGCGTAGCACCGATTATTTTTAGGCGCTGGCCCTGGTGAAGTTAGAACATTCATCAGCAATCGCACGTCATCTTAGAAATATTCTTAACTCACTCTCTATAAAAAGTTCCGTTCCGTTATCAGCAAGGTAATGAAGTCCTGGGTTTTTAAATCTTTCAAAGTCTTAACTTTGGCGCCTTCACGGCCCACGGAATCTCATTTGAGCCGAAGTTCCCTGACGTGTACGTCACATTAGATTTTTCGTATCGCGGTGATTAAAAGGGCTTCCTCGCTACTTGTTTTCCTGCTTTCAGAATTAATACTGATTGATGGACGAGAGAAGAGTATTACCTGTGCGAAGGCGCCGTAGGCAGCTCCGAACTGGTTGAATACGTAGGGGTTGAGCAACTGCATGTTTCCACTCATTTGCTGCATGCGTCGTAGCTGTCTCTCTTTGTCCGTGTCTGCAAATTTCACTACCAGACTAGAGGAGGCTCCCTGTAATCAGAAAAAATAAATATAATGAGATAACCAATGGGAAACGGAGAGGAAGGAAAGGAGACAACAATACCTTAAGATAAAAAAAAGAAGAAAAAAACTGCGCAATAACAACAAAAATATAGTCTTTAACATACCTACAGGAAGATACACCGAAAAAAGTGAAGTTGGTTTAACCTTCTAGATGCAAACAAAATGTGAGAGAACTCATAAAATGCTGAATTACCCGCTACGGATGATAGTTTTACATCTTGACATTGCTAAAGTAACTGCTGTAGCAATTAATTCAGCATTCTGTAAGTTTTCGCACACTTTTTTTACATCCAGAATGTTAAATCAACTTCACTTTTTTTCAGTGTATGGTGAAATCCAAAAACCCCATCACGAATAAATCTCCGTTGTCACGAAACAAATTTTTCGGATTTATCAGTGATCAGCCTAACCACATCAGAGGTAGTCTGATTTTCTCTGATGTCGTATTTTCTTAATGGAAAACTAAGCAACCCTCGAACTTGAAATTTTACAAGTATATTCATCATAATGTCAGGTAAATTTGAAGCAAAAATAAATGCTTGTCAAATAATTCGTGACATGGAATTCAGATGATTCCGGTTAATGTATCCACGTGCACTTGGCATGAACGGTCATTTCTTCGGCGGGTAAATCAGAGTAACGACTCATTCAGCTCTGCTACGCTAAGGAGCACAGTACAGGTGCGAAAAAATATATTTTTTAAAAAAATGTTGTATTCTACTCGCTAAGAGGCACAAAATCAACTTGAAATATCAGTGTGTAAAAAACAAGGATAAACGTTAGATCGGTCCTGGCGTTGCTACGCGATGGAATCAACGTTCAGATCCATTTTTCTGAAAGCCTATTCTTCATGGATCCCGTGCTTTGCCCTAGCAGCGGGCCGATTATTGAAACTGATAGACAAAGCTATAGACAAAGAAGACATTCCTAGTAAGTATAAAGCGATCCTTTAGGTTGACATGGTTGGTTCTTATAGACTAAGGATAAAAAAGATGGACTAACTGGCGGGTCTTTGGTGGGTTGCCGTTAGTTAGTCCATTACCTACCTCCAATGTCCATTGCCACCACCCGCTTCCACCAATAGGATCCCTCCAAATCCCTTTTGTCGTCTTTGTCTATAGCTTTGTCTATCAGTTTCAATAATCGGCCTGCAGGGCACATAGCCATCCATAGGCACCGTGACGCAAATAAGTTTCCAGAGTTCAAATTTAATCCATACCTTCAGTCATGGAGAAGTTATTTAGTAGGACTTATCATTCTCAACATTTTAAATTGAATCGTAAACATTTTCCTCGTCGCAGAATCAAAAGCTTAAAAAAAATCAGCGCACCCGTCAATTTCGATATCATCGACGAAGATGCTGACGGGGAAAAAAATTCCCCTTCTCAGTTATCAAACCGACGTATTGGTGGCTCGACGGAAAGCACCCCCGCCCCCTCCTCTAAGATAGTATCAGAGGGTTGTTATTGTTGCCGGTTCTCAATCGTAGACTCGCGAGCTCTGCCGCGCTGAGGAAGAACGACGTAAGGACCTAGAGGTGTTGCCAAATTTCCTTCGATAAAATTCGAATCCCCAGGGGGACCTGTGAACACTTCTTGCCCAATTTTTCAGAGAATTTCATTCGCAATTTAATCTAAAGAATGTGGAAATTTCGAGAAAAAATATTCATAATTTACCTCCGATTACATAATTTATCCGGGGGGCANGCCTGTTGCAAACTTTTGCTAGAGCAAAACTAAGAGTTGTTTCTCATAGATAATGCCTCAAAAATCACGATGAGCGCATCGGCAAAGTCTGAAGGAAGCGTCGGCCTTGATGAATATTGCCGACGATGGAGCGACTCCTCTAACAACATGTTTACCTGGGCCGTAGTATCGTTTTTAAAGCGGGAAGCTAAAAAAAAACGCAAATTTCTCACGCAGATTGTGAAGTTATGAGTGCATTTCAGACTCTGCCGATGCGCTTATCGTGATTTTTGAGGCATTATCTATGGGAAACAACTCTTATTTTTGCTCTAGCAAAAGTTTGCAACAGGCCCATTGAGCAATGTTCAAATGGATTGCATTTTGCGAAAAGGAACCACTAGCATTGCAATGTTGCTAAGATTGTGCAACTTCTTTTGTCTTGGAGGAAAACCCCGATTATCCATTAATAGTTTCTATTTTACTCGCTAAAAACCGTAAATTTAAGACAAAAATTACCATCTAAATTTTATAGTTTTTCACGATTTCCGCAATTTTAGTGCAAAAGATGAAGTTCCACAATCTTAGCATCATTCCAATGCTAGTGGTTCTTTTTTGCAAAATGCAATCCAAATGTTGATAGGTCGTTTTTGCTCGGCGCGGGAGATTTGGCGACGGGGTGGGGGCGGGGGGGGGGGGGGGG